AAAATGTGGGTAAAGGTGTGTCAAAGTGGGGTAACATGTTTCAAATGACAGCACACTGCTGCTTGTTGGCAGGCTGACTCAGTTCACTTGTCTCACACACACCCAGGGGGGGGCGTTGGAGGACACATTGACCCAGCAGTAGGTGCTCAAAACGTGGGTAAAGGTGTGTTAAACAGTGGGGTAACATGTTTCAAATGACAGCACGGTGCTGCTTGTTGGCAGGCTGACTCAGTTCAGTCTCACACACACCCAGGGGGGGAAAGATAACACTTGTACCAAGGAATAAGTGTTTGAAAGACGGGGAAAAGTTGTTTGAAATAGTATAATACCTCCAGGGCGCATAACTGCACTTTACAAGCCAGAAATAATGTTTAAATGGTCGGGGAAAGTATTTTTAAATGTCTGGAAGAGAGTTTTAGCCAGTCATTTTGCAGGATATCATTTAACATTGACGCTCTCCTGAAAATGCACAGAATATGTGCATTTGCAGGAGAGCGTCAATGTTAAATGATATCCTGCAAAATGACTGACTAAAACCCCGGAATAAGTGTTTGAAAGGCGGGGAAAAGTTGTTTAAAATAGGCTGATACATCCAGGGCGCATAACATGGGTAAAAAGTGTGTTCAAAGGTCGGGGAACATGTTTCAAATGACAGCAGACTGGTGGTTGTTAGCAGGCTGGCTCAGTTCACTTGTCTCACACACACCCAGGGGGGGAAAAAGGACACATTGACCCAGGAGAAAGTGCTCAAAACGTGGGTAAAAGTGTGTTGAAAAGTGGGGGTACATGTTTCAAATGACAGCACACTGCTGCTTGTTGGCAGGCTGACTCAGTTCACTTGTCTCACACACACCCAGGGGGGGGAAGATAAGACTTGTACCCAGGAATAAGTGTTTGAAAGGCGGGGAAAAGTTGTTTGAAATAGTATAATACCTCCAGTGTCAGGGTTGAGTAAGCAGGCAGGACCCAAATGCAGATTTCCAAGAATAATCCTTTATTCCAAGGTACAAAGTAGAAACACAGAACACTACCCTGTGACACACAGTCAACTACAAACAATGAACCAACCATGACAGACAGAAAAACCAGAACTAAAATACACAGAAGACCAATCACACAAACAAGACAGGTGAGGAGGGAGGAGAAAACACAGGGGCACCAGGTGAACACAATCGGGCAATCAGGCAGGACAGGGGTGAACACTTTTCAAAACAAAACAGGAAACCAAAGACAGAAAAAGACAAGACAAAACCCAACACAGACAGATCGTAACAGTACTCCCCCCTCAAGGGACGGATCCCAGACGTCCCAAAAAGTCCAAAACATTCCAGCAGGGTGGGTGGAGGGGGTCTGGAGGAGGGACGCACAACCAGGACCAACAGGGTGGGTGGAGGGGGTCTGGAGGAGGGACGCACAACCAGGACCAACAGGGTGGGTGGAGGGGGTCCGGAGGACGGGCCCGGAAGGGGTCCCGGGCGGACGGCCCGGGAGCAAGGCAGAGTCCAAAAAGGGGCGAAGGCCACAGCGGGCGAACTCGGGGACCCAGGCATGAGAGCGAAGGCAGTGGTTGGGAGAGTCAGGGGGCCGGGCTCGAGGGCGAAGACCACGGCTGGGGAACTCAAGGGGCCGGGCTCGAGGGCGAAGGCAGCGGCTGGAAGAGTCAGGGGGCCGGGCTCGAGGGCGAAGACCACGGCTGGGGAACTCAGGAGGCCGGGCTCGAGGGCGAAGACCGCGGCACTCAGGGGGCCGGGCTCGAGGGCGAACAAGAAGGCGTCTACGGGACAGCTCCGGAGGACGGGCAGGAAGGCGCTGACGGGACAGCTCCGGAGGCCGGGCAGGAAGGTGCCGACGGGACAACTCCGGAGGCCGGGCAGGAAGGCGCCGACGGGACAGCTCCGGAGGCCGGGCAGGAAGGCGCTGACGGGACAGCTCCGGAGGCCGGGCAGGAAGGCGCCGACGGGACAGCTCCGGAGGCCGGGCAGGAAGGCGCCGACGGGACAGCTCCGGAGGCCGGGCAGGACCCAGTATCGGCCGGACAGGAACCGGAGCCGACGGGACAGGCGTAGACGGGATCCTGAACATGACAAGGGCTGGTGTCAATGGGACCCCGGATGGAGCAAGGGCTGGTGTCGACTGGACCACCAACGGAACAGGACACAGAGTTGGCAGGACCCCCGGCGGGACAGGTGTCGGCGGGACCCCCAACAGGACAGGATCTGGTGTTGGCAGGAAATCCGGCGGAGCAGGTGTCGGCGGGGCCCCCAACAGGACAGGACATGGGGTTGGCAGGACCCACAGCGGAACAGGTGTCGACAGGAAACCCGGCGGAGCAGCAGTCGGCGGGACCCCCAACAGGACAGAATCTGGGGTTGGCAGGGCCCACAGCGGAACAGGTGTTGGCAGGATCTCCAACGATACTGGACGTGGAGTTGGCAGGACCCTCGGCAGGAGAGTTGTCGGCGGGACCCCCAACGGGACAGGACATGGAGTTGGCAAGACCCCCGGCAGGAGAGTAGTCGGCGGGACCTCCAACAGCACAGGACATAGGGTTGGCAAGACCCCCGGCAGAAGAGTAGTCGGCGGGACAGGACATGGAGTTGGCAAGACCCCCGGCAGGAGAGTAGTCGGCGGGACCTCCAACATCACAGGACATAGGATTGGCAAGACCCCCGGCAGAAGAGTAGTCGGCGGGACCCCCAATGGGACAGGACACGGAGTTGGCAAGACCCCCGGCAGGAGAGTAGTCGGCGGGACCTCCAACAGCACAGGACATAGGGTTGGCAGGACCCCCGGCAGGAGAGTAGTCGGCGGGACCCTCCAACATCACAGGACATAGGGTAGGCGTCGGCCGTAGAGCCAACAGGACACGGGGGGCTGGCGTCGGCCGGAGAGCCAACAGGAGACGGGGTGCTGGAGTCGGCCGGACCACCGACGGGACACGAGGGGCTGGAGTGGGCCGAACCACTGACAAAACACGGGGTGCTGGAGTCGGCCGGACCACCAACAGGACACGAGGTGCTGGAGTCGGCCGGACCACCGACAGGACACGAGGTGCTGGAATCGGCCGGACCACCGACAGGAGACGGGGTGCTGGAGTCGGCCGGACCACCGACAGGAGACGGGGTGCTGGAGTCGGCCGGACCACCGACAGGAGACGGGGTGCTGGAGTCGGCCGGAACACCGACAGGACACGAGGTGCTGGAGTCGGCCGGACCACCGACAGGACACGAGGTGCTGGAGTCGGCCGGACCACCGACAGGAGACGGGGTGCTGGAGTCGGCCGGACCACCGACAGGACACGAGGTGCTGGAGTCGGCCGGACCACCGACAGGACACGGGGTGCTGGAGTCGGCCGGACCACCGACAGGAGACGGGGTGCTGGAGTCGGCCGGACCACCGACAGGAGACGAGGGGCTGGAGTGGAATCCACAGGTGGACTGGAGGAGGCAGGAAATGCAGCAGAAGACGTCAAAGTCGAGACCCGAGCAGCGAGGCCCGGGAAGCATAGAGCCAAGGACCGCTGGCTTTCCTCAAAGTCTCGCCACGCCTGCTCATGTTCCTGAGAAATGGCGTGCTGGAACGGAACAGAGGGCGGAACCATGGCTGTTGGGGCCAGAACTGGGGCTGGAACCATGGCTGTGTGGGCCGGTTCTGGAGACGGAACCATGGCTGCTGGGGCCTGTACTGGAGCCCAAAGCATGGCTTCTGGGGGTCGGGCTGCTAGCCTGGACTTGCGACTCCTTCTCCTAGGAGCCTTTTGGAGGCTCCGTGGACCTCCAAAAGCCAGACGAGTGCCCGCGAACGGCTCCTGGACAGGAGCAGGAAATGGGGAAGAAGCAGGGGTTGACTTCAGACGGAACACACCGAGATGTATGGTGTTAGGTTGGGAGTTGGGAGGCAGGGGGCTAGCATGCCTGGGGCTAGCAGGCCGGGAATCACACGTCGAGAGGAAATCCAAAATCCAGTCAGGTAAGAACTTAACTAGAGATGGATCCACTGTTGCCACCTGGTGAGCCTCTGCCAGAGCAGCCTCTCTCTGCTGAACACTGGACGCTCCCCTCCACCTACTATAGCAGCAAGCCAAAGAAAAGGTAAAATGTTGTAATTCCACCTCAAATGGATCTGCTGGGCCCATTTCTGGTTGGTTCATTCTGTCAGGGTTGAGTAAGCAGGCAGGACCCAAATGCAGATTTCCAAGAATAATCCTTTATTCCAAGGTACAAAGTAGAAACACAGAACACTACCCTGTGACACACAGTCAACTACAAACAATGAACCAACCATGACAGACAGAAAAACCAGAACTAAAATACACAGAAGACCAATCACACAAACAAGACACAGGTGAGGAGGGAGGAGAAAACACAGGGGCACCAGGTGAACACAATCGGGCAATCAGGCAGGACAGGGGTGAACACTTTTCAAAACAAAACAGGAAACCAAAGACAGAAAAAGACAAGACAAAACCCAACACAGACAGATCGTAACATCCAGGGCGCATAACTGCACTTTACAAGCCAGAAATAATGTTTAAATGGTCGGGGAAAGTATTTTTAAATGTCTGGAAGAGAGTTTTAGCCAGTCATTTTGCACGAAATCATTTAACATTGACGGTCTCCTGAAAATGCACAGAATATGTGCTTTTTCAGGAGAGCGTCAATGTTAAATGATATTGTGCAAAATGACTGACTAAAACCCCGGAATAAGTGTTTGAAAGGCGGGGAAAAGTTGTTTAAAATAGTCTGATATCTCCAGGGCGCATCACCAAAAATGTACAAGCCAGGGAAGGTGCCTGAATCCCGGATACTTTAGGTCTGTCACTTAGGGTGACCGCACCACTCCGACGCTCCCGAGAGCGGACGTCCATTGTTTGTAAGGCACCTAAGAGGGAGCATGACCTCAGAGGAAAACAACACTCTTCTTTCTCTCTTCATCATTCTGGCTGTTTCTCTTTGTTTTATCATCATCATCATTCTCTCTCTCTCTCCTTCTCCTCTCAGGTGACAGGAAGTGAAGACACACAGAAAGGTGAGAGGTCGTACCAAGTGCACTTTATTTATTGAGGTTTCAACACTTAATTAAAATGTAGTTATTGGTTCAGTGTGTTTCTGGTGTTCCAGACAAATCTGCAAGCTCAGGTTTTATTTGTTCTCAGTTTATTCGTCACGGGGCGAGTTTGAGACGTCCAGAGGAGCGTGGAGGCATTTTGGAGAATAAAGAAGAAGACTGCAGCTGATGAGAGACTTCCTGTTAGCTCTCCTCAATATGAAATGAACAAAAACAATCCATTGTACTTAAAGCTTTTCTTGAAGATGTGTTGCACATACACCTGCTGCTACCTACCACCACCTCCCACCCATCCCGGCACCCAAAGAGGAGACCCCATCGACCCCAGATACCCCAACTCACTCTTCTTCAGGTTAGCTTGGAGCCCCGCCTTTACCTGCCCCAACATCTCACTTTGAACGATGTAGTCATCCGGATATCTGCATACTGAGAGTGGGACGCAGGACCCGGTCAATGAGCTGCTGGAAGGGGGTCCACTGGACTGGAGGGGCTCTTGGATCTGGTGATGCCTTGCTCTTTCTGAAAGGGGAGGACAAAGGAGGTGTAAAGCAGCTAAAGACTTAGGCCCCCGGCTCCACGGGGACGAAAACGGCAAAACGCATCGGAGTAACGCAAATGCAACCGCAAAAAACCTTCCGTCCCCACGCAATATACACCGGATTGTGTCAAGCTCCACGAGACGGCTCCGTTTACATCCAAACGCTGGAAAAGCTGCAGTACATATGCCGAACCTGTACGTGGTGCTGTAACTTCCTCCACCAAAAGCAGCAACTTCCTCCACAAAAGCAGCGAAGAAGAATGGTTGTCATGGCTGCACTTCTGTTTATTCTCCGCGGTGGGGGCCAAGGGATCCGGGCAGAGTTTTTCGCCAGTCAACGTGTGTTAAAGTTTAAATCTTCCGGACAAAATTATAAAAGTGCCGGTCAAAGGTCTTCTTTGTTATTTATTGAGCTTTAAAAACAAATGAATAACGACGATATAATGATATATGAAAATAAAATACACAGAGCCTATCTCTTTTTCCTCTCTTCTCACAGCGTCAGTGTCTGTCTCATGCAGCAGCTGATCCAGTAATGATGACTCGACAGTAAAAATAAACATATTTATAACTAGTTTAGGTAGTTTGAGAGGTAATTAAAATAGCTATTGTTGTTGTTAACGAAACACATCAGCAATGATGCGGGGTACGCGGAGAGGTGGGAAGAGGTGGGGAGAGGCGGGAGAGGCGGGGCTATGAAACGGATGACCGTATAGGCGACCCCACGGCCCCGTTGGACCCCCCAGAGCGCTCCGTTCCCAGATCTATCCACCTTTGGACCCGTTGTTGTTTGCGGGGTCTGTTTCTACGTTTCCCTTACGGCGTCGTCGAGCTTAGAGGGCTATACGCATGAGAAATATGCGGATTCAACCCGTTTTCGTCCCCGTGGAGCCGGGGCCTTAGTAAAGGGTTGTGGGTCGTGTGCATAGGCTAATGCAATGTGTCTGGCAGAGGAGACCTTAAGATGGTCCAACATGTGGCACTTGTAGAGTTCGGTTTCCCAAGTGGGTAGGAGGTTAGTTAGAACCATCTTAAGATTGCATAGTGTTGATGTCTCCATATTAAGTTGAATAATTAAAACGAAAGTTAATATAATCAAATATAATCAAATATAATCTTGTATAACCCAAAATGAACAATTATTATATTTCATGTTGTTCTATAATCACAGTTTATACAAACACAAGTAGTTTGTTAAGTTGAGTTTAAGGCCTATTGTAGTTTATGGGTGTCACTGTTTTAAAGAGGGGGCACAGTTGTCTTCACTCACAGGCTGTACCCCCGACTCAATGGAAAAGTACTGGAGCCCCAAAATGTGTTTAGGCCATACCATAGGAGAATATGTCTGGATGTCCAGTCCTGCACACCAGAGGTCATGACCTTTCCCCACAGGGTATAAAGGAGGTGTCTTTGGGTTTTCTTTGTGTTCCTATGTGCAGCATAAAAGCACTGGCTGAGAGGGAGAAAGCTCCAGAGCGGGGTCTCTCCTTGGTAGGTTCTCTCAACTTGGTAAGATCTCTCAGATTGATTTGGTGAATTGTTGAATGAAAGTTTGAATGTGTTAGATACCACTGACCATTTATGAGGAGATCCCTCTGGATTCTGTCGGGTTAGACTTTTAATGTTTCAACTGAAGAGGGCAGTTGAAGTTAGAATTTAGTGTAAGAAATGTAAAACTGAATTGAGCTTTTATATGAAAGTACCACAGCATGATATGTTTTGTATGATTGTCATATTGTAACGAGAGAAGGTAAAAACCTGTTTAAGTGTGGACCATTTTCTTCAAATAAAATCATCCCACCTTTTTGGATTGGGAGAACTTAAAATAAATCTGCGCTCTCCTCTCCTGCTTAAAGGTAAGATTGCACCACTGCCACACTCACACTTGTGTGGTTATTATGAAAATACACAGGAATCTATCAGAGTATAAACCTGGTTTGTAGCCATGCTAATAGTCTGTCTACTACTTAGAACCACATTTAAATAACTCAACACCTATTGGATGGATTGCATTGCATTTGATTCATTAGTCATCTCCTCTAGCCCCTTCATTAAGGACATGCTAGTGCTAATTAGCTGTGTTAGCATGCTGCACTCGTATGTTAAACACATTTTCAAGATTCAACATTCAAGTTTCAAGGCTTTATTGTCATTTGCACAGCAGCTACAGAGTAGATATGTCAATGAAGATCTTCTCCAACAGAGCAACATGAATATATATAGGACATGGAACAAATAACACAGATAAAATAGTGCAAGATAATGTTTTGAGATGAGCAAAAATGTAAATACAAATAAAATAGAATAGAAATAGTGCAAGAATTAGCTATGTTAGCATGCTGAACTCGTATGTTAAACACATTATAGGAGCTAAACAGGAGCTTGATAGCATTGTGAGCATGTTAGCATAAAGCTAATAGCCTCAGTCCAGCCTCTCAGAGAATGAACACATGAACACACAGTGACCTTATTGAGTAACAGCCATAAAAGCCATTGATTACCTTTTACAACATGCTAACAGCTCCTAAGCTACTTGCACACGTTACAGACGAGCTGTACCTCGACTGAAGCTGCTTCTTCTATCTTCAAAACAACATGCTTCACTCAGAGGAGGAGATCATGTGCTGTAGTGAAGTAAAAAGATATGATTCTAAACTGTATTAGAGTAAACATGTATTGTTTGAACTGTTTTAAGTAATCCCATATAGAAATGAAATTCTCACTTACAACTCAATGACACAGAGATCCTGTTTCACACACACACAGCTCCTTTTCACCAGAGCGCACCACACATGTTCTTTTCAAGGTTCAGTATGTTCTTTCTGGCTCATTATATCTGTATACAATGTTTAATTGTCTGAGAGTAACAGTTTATGTGAAAGATGCCATGGGAAAATAAGGGAGTGAATACCGGTGCAGAGATAGATTGACTTTGACCTTGTAGAACCTTAGAATCTCACGTTCTGGTCAGAACTCTGATTCGCTGTATTGAACCCGGCCAGAGGTGGATCCAACCAGTAAGGACACCTGGGGGAGTGAGCAGCTCACACAGCTCCTCCCCACAGACTCTCTGATTCGCTTCGGAGTAAAATGGGAAGGAAGAGTCTACACATCTCCGCCCCAAAATATGGATATAAATACTTATGTTTTTGTATGTAAAAGTACTTCTGGTTTGTTGAAGGCTGGTCTAGAGACGTGTAAACCGCATCCCAAACCTGAAGTCTGTACTTCTCGTTTCTTGAAGGCATGGTCTGTCTACCTGTAAACAGCATCACAAGCCTGAAGTCCGGAGTACTCTGTATAACTTGTATATGTGTTTGGTTTCCTACCAGAGTAAACTCAGATAATTGTTATAACTTTTGATTCCGGTGTTTTCAATTCCTTTCTTTATTTAATAGAGATCAGCCTCATTCAACGAACGGCCGCGCAGCAGAGGGGGGGGCTCTCAGCCACCCTAATAGGTGTTCTGCTCCAACAAGTGGTGACCCCGACGTGATGAGTGCTTGTCTCTAGAAAGGAACACCGATAGCCAGGGGACGGAATCCAGTCCAGGGGGAGGACACAGAGATACTGTTGACAACTAAGGACCATGGCAATATACAAAAGGTGAGCAGACACCTGTTTTGACTATCAAAAATCTGTGATTGATTATACTAAAAAAATGTAGAGTTGTCAGCAGCGTTCTCAGTGTTCTTAGTCACGTGGGAAATGCAATACATATTCTAGTTGAAATAGATTAATAGTGCTTAGAGTCGGGTAGTTCAGTCCTGTACCTAAGGCACAAAAGTGCTTGTAAAGAGGCGGGTAGTTCAGTCCCGTCCTACAACTCACTAGAAACGAACGCTGCAAAGCTGTAAAAGATGTATGGGGTAAATTCCCCGTAAGTCAAAATAACATTGATTAATATGGTTGGCTTGTAGTGCTTTAATTAAAGGCTGTGGGGGTGTAAAAAACAGATGGGTTAAATTCCCCGCAGATCATGATAAGATTTATTAATGCGGTTACCTTTCGTGGTGCTTTAAATGTATAAAATGGCTGTAATTGTTATATGGTGGGTGATAGAGGAGGAGAGAGAATCGACCTCCAACTAATTATTTGGACCGACCGAATCTCATCACAAAACTGCTGTGGGGTTAATCAGGCTCATTAAACGTGACGATAAAGAGATTTGTTGACTGGGTTCCGACTCCTTGCCTGAAGCCGCAGCCGCCAAAAGGGGGTTTGTAGAAGCTTGCTTCAGGAAGTCACGCTATCTGTTGAAATATACATCGCACAATTAAAAATCTGCCTGACTGTACGGATAAATATATGTAAAACTGCAAATATAATTTAAGAACACCACTCTGTACACAGTACATACTTAGAAAAGAAGTAGTAGACGGAGATAGAATTCATATAGTACGAAGTCATAGTCTGGAAGGCCTGAAGGTGACGATAAAGGATTTTTGTGGTTTGGGAATTAAACTCCATGTAAGCGTTGCATCTCTAAAGAGGGGTGTCGAAGTGCGCTTAAAAACCGCAATTATCTGTTGGAATAAAACATCGTACAAAAAGCCGGACAGACTGTATAAGGGAATAAACTCTGGTGTGATTTTTTAAGTCAAATCTGTGTAATAATTAAGAAAAATCTAGAAGTACTCCAGTGGAGACAGGTTTGCAGTATTAGTAAGAGGGGACAATTTCATTCGTGGTCAGCTGCTGCCCTCGTGGTGGCGAACAGGGAGTGTTACATATATCTGAAAAATTACATACTGAAATTTAGAAATTAAAGACAATAATTGCCCACGTATATTTAAATAAACACAAACGAACACGTATCAACATAAGTCAGATAATATAAACGAGGTCAATCATGGAAGAAGGCTGACATTTAATGCCTGATATATAAGTAATATAATATATAATAATATAAACTGATGTATAAGGCTCGATATTTCTGAAAATAAGAACACCGTCAACAGCATTCATTTCAGAAAAAGAGGGGGATAGGATAACATCAGACAATATGATGTGAGATTAT